TTGAGCATGCAAGGCAAGCGCTCTACCACTGAGCCACCTTCCCAGCCGAAAACAAAGTGTTTTAAGAAATACATTCATATATTTCTTCACTTGGTTTACTCTGACTAACATTATGTTCTCCACTCACATCCATTGTGCTTCAAATGACAGAATTCATTCTTATTTTATGGCTGAATAATAACCCACTATTTTATACATACCATACTTTATACAATAATCTGTTGGCGAGCAGTTAGGCTGGTACCATTACTTAGGATGTATCTCTTTTGTATGAGGCTTTAATTTCTTCAGAATTACACCCACGAGTGTGTGAGACTGCTCAATCATATGGTAGTTCTATGTTTATTTTTTTAAGACACCCCCATATTATTCTCATAGTGGCTGAACTAACTTACACTGGTTCCAACTGTGTACAAGGCTCCATTTTTCCTTTGCCAGCATTTTTTTTTTGTTATTTTGATAATAATCATTCTAGGCAGGGTGGTTAGATTGTAGGTTTGATTTCCATTTCTTTAATGGCTAATGATACTGAAGATTTTAAATGTATTTATGATCTATTTCTATGTCTTCTTTTGAGAAATGTCACTCAGGTCATTTCCCCATTTGAATGTTAATCCTGTCAGATGAAAAGATGGCAAAGGATTCTCTTGGCTGTTTTCTTGTCTTTTTTTTTTGTCAGTCTTGGGGCCTGAACTCTGGGTCTGGGCGCTGTCCCTCAGCACTTCAGCTCAAGGCTAGCACTATACCACTTGAGCCACAGTGCCACTTCTGGCTTTTTCTGGTTATATGGTGCTGAGGAATCGAACCCAGGGCTCATGCATGCAAGGCAAGCACTCTACCAACGGAGTCACATTCCCAGCCCCAGCTATTTTCTTTTCTGTACACTTTTTAATTTTATGTAATTCTATTTGTCAATTCTTGGAATTGTTTCCTATACTTTCAAAGACCTATTCAGAAAATCATTGTTGGTACCAATATGTGAAGTGTTTTCTAGGTCTTTAGTTGATTTTGAGTTGTTGTTTTATACAAGGTAAGAGAATTCAAGTTTCAGTCTTCCTATGTGTATATCAAGATTTCTCGCCGGGTGCTGGTGGCTCATGCCTGTAATCCTAGCTATTTAGGAGGCTGAGATCTGAGGATCACGGTTCAAAGCCAGCCCAGGCAGAAAAGTCCATGAAACTCTGATCTCCAATAAATACCACTAGAAAACCGGAAGTGGCGCTGTGGCTTAAGCGGTAGACCGCTCGCCTTGAGCTGAAGAGCGTAGGAACATTGCTCAGGCCCAGAGTTCAAGCCCCACAACCGACCAAAAAAAAAAAAAAAAAAGAAAAGAAAAGATTTCCCAGCACCATTTGTTGAAGAGGCTTTCCTTTCTCCAATATATGGTCTGGGCACCTTTGATGAGAATCAGGTGGCTGAAGATGTATAATTTACCATTCCATTGGTCTACATGTCTCTTTTTATGCCAACATTGTGCTGCTTTTGTTTCTATATTTTGGTGTTTTTCAAATCAAGTATTGTGATGCTTGCAGTGTTTTGCTAGGATTGCTTTGGCTCTTTGGAGTCGTTAGTGCTTCTATATAAATTTAAGGATTTTTTTCTGGTTCTTTGAAGAATGTCATTGATATTTTGATGGAGAGTTCATGGAATCTGTAGAGTCCTTTGGGCACTCTAGACATTTTAACATTAATTACTGAAATTCATTACAATGAGAAAATGTTCTACTTTTTAGTGTCTTCAATTTCTTTAGTCTTTTGCAATTATTGTAATTATGATTCTCACATTACTAGATTTACTAATGACTGTTTTGTTTTGCTGTGACTACTGTAAATGGGATTGTGAAAAAGCTGAGTACAACAGGAAAAAATACGTATGACATTGGGAGTAGGGTAGGAGATCTTAAAACAAGATATAAAAATGTTGCATGAAGGGAAAAGGGTCATAAATCTTATCTTTAATGTAGTCAAATGTATTAACGATAAAGATAGGAAGAGACAAGCTTATCTGTTGCATGGGGGTTTCTCTACAGCATGCATATGGATTGTTGTGTCATATAGTGGTTTTTCCAAAGCAGTGGTTTTCAGTGCCGCATGTGTGTGCACTCGCGTGAGTGCATGCGTACATGCATGCATACATGCGTATGTGCGTTTTGTGACAATGACAAAAGCTTATTTGGACTATGTAGAGAACCATAGATCAGTAAGAAATGGGCTAAGAACCTAATAGGAAAACAAGTACAAGACAGGAATGAACATTATAAAGAAGAAGAAACAAATATGAGAAACCTAAGACGTCCAACCTCATTAATGCAAATTAAAACCTCAATGAGAAACCATTTCTGTTACTAGGAATGGCAAAACAATAGAAATGTGATGATTAAATCTAAGTGTTAGTAAGGACTAGCAAGAAGTGGAGCAGAAGAAAGTTGTAGTTACGTGGTAGGAATGTAAATAGGTAAAATTACTTTGGAAATTTATTAAAATTAAAGATGTGTTATGTGTGACCAGAAATTCCACATATATAAGTATATTTTCTAGAGATACACAAAAGAATACTCAATAGCAGCATTGTTAGTAATAGCAGAGAGTAATGAATAAAGGAGTATAGTGGATAGTAGGTTGAGCTATTCACTCACAGAATAGTATAGACAATGAAGTGTACCTACCCATCAGCATGACTGTATTCAAAGCATAATAGTGAATGAGTAAAGCAAGTAAGAAGAATGTGCCATTTCCATTATATAGTTGTCAGAAAATGGTAAAACAAAACAGAATTATTTATGGATACAGCCACCTTTGAAAAGCCATAGAAGCAGCATTCAAAGCGATTCATGCTGTTCTCCTGGAGGGATTGGTATAGAAAAATAAGCCTAACCCCAAATCTTTCTCTGGCTTCCCATCTTGACATATCATCACTTCCACAATACACTCTTGTCATTTTGATGATATTTGCAATGAGCCTGGGCCAGAGGCTTAACCAATGGAGCCACCTGATTGTGACTTTCAACCTCCAACATAGTGCTAATATACTGACAGCTTCAAGTATTCCATTATGGCAATAGAAAAGACAAATATGAAAGGAAAATTAGACAAAGCCACACACACATATGCACAAACTTTGCTTTAAAATGTAGTGCCTTCCAGATGCTGGTGGCTCATGCCTGAAATCTTGGCTATGCAGGAGGCTGAGAGCTAAGGATTGTGGTTTGAAGCCAGGCTGAGCAGTATAGTCCATGAAACTCTTATCTCCAATTAACCACCCAAAAGCTGGAAGTGGAGCTGTGGCTCAAAAACCTCAGGGACAGTGGTCAGGCCCTGAGTTCAAGTTCCAGGACCAGCACAAAAAAATAAAATGTAGCACACGAAAATTTTGCATAATATAATGTATAAAAGCAACAATGTCAACTGGTCATAATCTACATAGAACTGTACCTAACAGATTTCTATATCAGAAATCACAAGACTGAACATTGTTTTATGACCAATAATATAATAATCATTCAATTACATTAATGCACAAACTAGTATTTCTCTTAATTAAACTACATCCCTCCCACTTTCCTCTTACTGAGATATTTTAACTGTATGAAAGTCCTTCTGGAAAGACTGTTGGGAAGTCAGTTTCTTAACAGTATTTCATGCATACTTGTGTAAGTGGATGTATCTATAAAGTTTTGACAGGATGCTGTATTTTCCTTAACAAGTGTTCTAAAAACTAAGACACTTAAAATATGTAAAATTTATGGTAAAGTTTTTTTAAGATTTAGCAGTCTAAATGCAAATTATTACATATATATATTCAACTGAAATATGGAATATTTTTTCCTCTGAGCAAATCAAGATTAAAAAAAAATCCTGTCCATAAAAAGTAGGTTGAAGTAATGTTGATAATTACTATCATTAGTATAGTTATATGTAATTACCAAAGTCCTACCAAATTTATGTTCATAACAGAATCTCACAAAAACACTATGGATATTTGGCATTATCTCTGTTTTACAGATAAAGAAGTTGAGTAGGAAAGAGATGAAATTATTTGTCCAAATTGTAATGTTAGTAATTGTAGAATCATCATTCAAATCAAATCTCAAAATGAATCATGTAACTATTGGCTATTCACAAAATTATGAGTATTTCTATGACTTATACCAAACTTATACTTCATCTTAAAATGAATGTCAGAGACAGAAGATGAAGTCAGAGAGACAGAATATGGAAAGGCTAAGGTTCAGGACCACTTGTCAGAAGTGATGTTTTTATATACATTTCTTATAAAAACCTATGTAATCAAAAGGCACTGGATAATTTCATACTTACAAACCTTGTCTCTGATTTTTCATTTTGAATAATTTCAAGTATATACCTATGAAACAATGATGTACATGAACTGCTAGATTACTTAATACCAAGATCCATCAAATTTCAACTCTTGGTCTATTGTGGTCATGACCTTGCAATCCTGCCTCAGACTCCTAAGTGCTAGAATTACAGCCCATAATAACCACACAACTGGTGACCCTTACTTCACCTATATTCCTCCTATTTTTCCCTTACTGAAGCATTTTAACTCAAATTCAAGATAAATTATATTACATTATGGGTAACTTTATTCTAAAATAACTATTACAATAATAGAATCTTGGGAATAAAAAGAAGCTGAACAGTCCTCAGTATTGTAATATAGACCAATAGGCATAATTTCTTGAGTTCTTAGAATTAACTAATTAATTTTTGTCAGTCAAAGGGCTTGAACTCAGGGCTTGGGTGCTGGCCCTGGGCTCTTTTGCTCAAGACTAGTGCTCTACCACTTTGAGCCATAGTGCCACTTCGGATTTTGAGTGGAGATAAAAGTCTCATTGGGACTTTTCTGTGCTGGCTGGCTTTGAACCACTGTCCTCAGATCTCAACCTCTTGAGTAGCTAAGATTACAGATGTGAGCCAATAGTTCCTGGCGCTTGGAATTTAGCTGTCTAATATTAATAGTAAGAGAAAGTATTTTACCTGTCCTCTGAAGTCGTGCTTCAGTTCTCCTAAAACAAAAGGTCAGAAGATTCATGATTTTAAAAGCTAATAAAGGATCTCAATAACATTAAACAAAACTTTTCAATTTCTTCACTAAAAATAAAACAATCAGAAAATGCTGAAAGCTAGAGAACATTATAAAGAAGACTTAAAATAGCATGAAAGTGCCAATTATTCTCAAGTACATGTTGTGGCTCATATCTGTATGGAAATCAAATAAGCAGAATATTCTTACATTGTTGTTTTTTTTTCTGTTCTTACTAGTGATGTCTTACTAGTATGACAAGAAAGTATCACCCAAGTACCACTTCCAGTTGGATAGTTGTGATTGCTGGGAAGCTGTGATGACAAGTTGTCTTTTTTTTTCTTTTGGTTCAATGAGAAAGAAAGTTGTAAATGATTAGTGAGTTATCTTCTGTAACAGCAGTCTATACTTGCTGACCCTACTACATCAAAATGATGCTTTAAAGAGGCATCACTTCAACTTACATGCTGAAAGAATAGACAGCCATTATTGCCACAATCTACTTTTTTTATTATAAACAGATATTAAGTAGTAATTCACATAGTTACATATTTTCATCCCTGAAACATTGAATTGGATATATATATATATATATATGTATACACAAATTCCAGTTATATTTCTTTTCTCTTTACTTAGTGAACAAATGCATAACTCACTTGACACTAGCCTTATGCTAATTTACATTATTCATTTATTTTATTTATTTAGTCTGCCTTCCTAAGTAGATTATAATTCACCAAAGTTAGCTGGCAACATCTTATTTTCCTTCCTTGTCCTACCAACAAGTAATGCCTTGGTGACTATATTCTATAAATTTACATGTTATTTGTCATTAACACCACATTACCTGCTCTTTTTAATTGTTGCTGAACTGGGATATTTTGTTTACGTAGATTAAAATTTCCATAACATTTTGAGCATGATGCATATCATAAATCTAGATGATAATATCTGCTATTAATACACAGCAAGTGAACTAGCTTTCCTTCCTTTCTTTCTTCCTTCCTTCCTCTTCTTTCCTTCCTTTCCTCCCTCCCTCCCTCTTTTTCTTTTTTTCTTTCTCTCTCCCTCTTTCTTTTCTCTTTTTCTTTCTCTCTCCTCTTTCTTTCTTCCTTCCCTTCCTTCCTTCCTTCCTTCCTTCCTTCCTTCCTTCCTTCCTTCCTTCCTTCCTTCCTTCCTTCTTTCCTTCCCAGTCTTGGGGCTTGAACTCAGGGCAAAGGAACTGTCCCTGAGCTTCTTTTGCTCAAGGCTAGTCCTCTACCACTTGAGCAACAGTGCTACTTACAGCTTTTTCTGTTTATGTGGGTACTGAGGAATCAAATCGAGGACTTCATGCATGCTAGACATGCATTCTGCCACTAAGCCACATTCCCAGCCCACAGGTAAATTTCTTAAAACAATGAATTGTATTTTGCTAGTTCATTTGCAACATAGTATCTTGTTCATCTCACTGTTACAATGGTTCAACCTGTATCCTTATTTCAGCATGCTTTAGTTTCTTGTCAACTTACTTCTTCTATATATGTGTCTTAATTTAGATAAGAGGCCAGATAGGAAATATTTTAGGCTTTGTGGCCAAAAAGTAAAGTGGAAGATACAGTGCTAAGTACTTATTTTAAATAACAAGAGAAAGACTGTCAAAATCGTATTGATGAAATTTAAACTAATAATAATTATACATCTATTATTTTGAAATTTGTCCATTGAAAATTATAATTGCAATTAAATGCAACTTGTAATTTAATTGCAATTAATTTACACTGCAATTGAGGATCAAAATTATTATTTCTCATCAAATTAATTGCAAATGTTCATCAGTTAATGTTGATCTCTAAAGAGTATAAAATATTTCATCTTTGGAAACGCTTTATCAAGCAAACAACTGGACGCTTGGTTACCAAAGGTGGTATGTAGTTCTAAGAAGACTGCTGTTGAAGAAAAGGTGTAATTGCTCAGTTTAGTACTGCAGTGAGCATTTTTGATTAAAAAAATGTCTATGTTAACTTAATTTTTTTATGCCAGTACTGGTTTGAACATGGCCACAAGCTCTTGTGTGGCTTTTTTTTACTCATAGCTAGTGCTCTCCTACTTGAGCCACTCCTAGTCTTCTGGCTTTTTCACTGGTAAATTGGACGTAGGAGTCCAATTTTGAAAGTCAGTCCTCAGATCTCAGTCTCCTGATTAGCTAGGATTATAGGTATCAGCCAATGGATACCTGGCTTATTTAACTTTTTATTTTTTTTCGGTCGTGGGGCCTGAACTCTGGGCTTGAGTGCTAGCCCTCAGCTCTTCAGCTCAAGGCGAATGTTCTACCACTTGAGCCACAGCGACACTTCCGGTTTTCTAGTGGTTTATTGGAGATAAGAGTCTCACGGACTTTTCTGACCAGGCTGGCTTTGAACCGTCATCCTTAGATCTCAGCCTCCTGAGTAGCTAGGATTACAGGCATGGGGCACCTGGCTCTTATTTAACTTTTATTTTAACTTTTTAATTGAAGTTTAATTAATGCATATGAGGGAAATGTCCTATCCAATTTTATAAAGTTCTGTTTGATTCTTCTCTTGATATTTGCATTATAGCATATCATTATATAACAGATTAATCACTTCTAATTCAAGGTTTGGTGAAAGCTTCTCAATTACACAGTTCATGGATTTTGAAATATGTGAATTCTTTTGCACTAGCATGCAGAAAATACCATTGTAATTAAGATCAGTTTGTCTTCTGGACTGAGCAAGTCAGGGACTTCCCAGGAATTGAGAGTTTTAACTGCTAAAACTGGGATGGTTTCTTTATTTTTTAATTAAAAAAATCTTACCTTTTAAAAATTCTTATTGTAAAGGTGTACATAGGGGTTACAATTACATAAGTGAGATAATGAGTACATTTCTTTTTGGACAATGTCACCCCTTCCCCCTCTCTCTTCCAGTTTTTCCCTCCCATCTCTACCCACAAGTTGTCCGTTTCATTTTCAATGTAGTGTCTTGTGAGTACCATTGCTGCATTTGTTCACCCTTTTTTGGAAGTTTCTTTGCTTTCCAAGACAGGTTTTTGATGTATTGCTTGGGATGGCCTCAAACTTTTGAACTCAAGTGATCATTCTGCTCCTAAGGTTTTTTTTTTGTTGTTGTTATTGTTGTTCCCCAAGACATAGCTGGAACCAAAGTGTGACCGTAGAAAATATATCTTCTTCATGAAAGGTAAACAAAGGAGGAGGCTGCAATGCTTGATAAGAAATGTACTCATTATCTTGCCCATGTAATTGTAACCCCTCTGTACAGTATGTTCACAAAAATAAATAAATAAATAAATAAAATTAAAAAAATATCTTCTTCAAATTTCTTGTGAAATATATATTTGGTTTGCTGTTTTAACTCTTGTCAGTACACTTTGACATCACTTAGGATTCAAATAACCTCAATTAACATTGAAATGGCTTTACTTCAGTAAATTTTCATATACATAAGCACTATTTATTCTTGTAATTTTAGGTTGAAGTCATTAAAAACATCAAATTTGCAGCAAAAGCTAATTTCCAAAGCCATTTAGTCTGATAATGGCTTCTTCTTGTTCATGGAAATTTCAATCTCAGTACTGAGCTAAAAAAAATTATAATGAAATTTTTTCCACTACTAAGGTTTTGAACTTCTGTTCAAAATATCCATCCAGCTTCTATTTCTGACAAAAATTCACAAAACTGGCAATGGCTAACCCAACAGACCTAATAAAGTTCACTGTGGACACTATCAGTTCAATCACACATGATACAGTAAAATGTGTTCTGCAAGGTACCTGATGATGAATAGTTTAATTCAGTCAATAGCCAAAGCATTGAATCATATGGGATTTCATATAAGCTTCGTAAATTTGCCTAACAATTTTTCTTCTCTCACATATATTACCATCATCAGTTGTGAAAAATTTAGCATATTCTATGGTAGGTTATACTTAATTGGTATTTTCTCATTAAAAAAATATGTGCTTGGGTTATTCTACACAGATTTTTTTCTTAAAATCCATTCTTTAATTTTTCAGCTACTTGAATGTTCTCATTGACTCTTCAAAATGAAAAACAGGAAGTGGTGCTGTGGCTCAAGTGGTAGAGTGCTCACTGAGCTGAAGAACTCAGGGACAGTGCCTAGGCCTAGAGTTCAATCCCCATGACTGACACACACAAAACAATCAGGTAAAATAAAAAACGGAGTTGTTTTTGTTGGTCAGGGATAAAAACCACTTGAAATTATTTACTTTGATTTCTGTGTGTTTACTTGTTTTCTTGCTGTGTTCTTCTAATCAATTATTGATGTCATTTTTAATGACCTCAGCTTTTGACCAATTACTTCCACTAAATGTCCATTGGTCTTATGTTTATTTTCTCTGGACACATTTCTTCAGCAGCTTTCATCCAATGTGATGGATGCAGTTCGCCATCATTTTACACTGCTTGTTCTTTGCTTGGCTTGCAAAGGAGCCACTCAGATAACTTTTGTGTAGGATCATTTTTAATTTTTATGAAAACAGCTTATTATAAAGCACTTCACATAAAAATTTCTCATTATGTTGGAGAGTGGTAGAGTTACAGCCAAGTGATCAAGCTGAGCAAGTGTGAGGCCCTGAGCTCAAACCTTTGTACCAGCAAAGCAAAACAAAACAAAACTAAACTAAATTTGTTGTCTATGGCTGGGGATATTACAATTATTTCTCTTAACACTGATGCATACTGACTTCTTTTAAGCACAGTCATGTGTTATTGCGCAATTAATGCAATGCTTTGCCATCTAATTGAGTAATCAAACAAGCCAATTTATTGTCCCCCTAAAAGTGTGGTACTCAAAGTTCAAGCTTCTTTTCTTGTTGATTGTTTTGTTTTTTTATGATGCACATTCACTCATTAAAAAATTAGATAAAATGTTGTACTGAAGCAATATAATGGCACTAGAAAAGCTATAGATTAATGACAATGTCCCCGAGGTTGCAGTGACACATGGCAGTATAAAGTCCTATTTGCTTCTGTCACTGTAGCATGAAAATGGTTAAGTAATATGTAAAGAATTGAGCCTGGCACGAATAAAACTTTATTCATGGGTATTGAAATTGAATTTCAAACAATTTCTATATGTCACTGAATATTATTTTTGATTTTCATCACCTATTTAAAATTCAGAGACTCATTCCTTTCTTGTCATTGAACATTTTTATTACTACATAAACAAATAATTATTCTTTAAATGGAGAAAAGCTAACTTTAGCATGGTATATAAGCCCTTACATGTTGTAAATGCCTAATACCTTTATGACATTGCTTTAATATTAACATTTTTTTGAGATTTGCCCCTAAAAATGTAGAAAGGTATTTACTATCTTGTTTTAGAGTTCAGAACACAATCAAAAGTATTTTTAAAATATCTGTAACTTACTGTGCTAAATTATTTGTGATCATTAGTCCCTGTATTTCTCTATGTTGCATATCCATTAGGTCTTTTGGACTTAGGTTACTTTTTCTTAAACCTATTACTTGAGCCTACTACCATAATTCAGTAAGAGCTAATTACTATTAGGTCAGTGGTATGAATATACAGCATGAATACTGATTACTGGTATGCTGTAAATTGTCTGTTCTCTACATTTGATAATCTCTGAATTGAGATTTTAGAAAAGACACCAAGAAAAGCAATTAGGAACTTTGATGGCAGTTGCATAGGATACTTTTATGTATGTTTATTATAATAAAAATTTTGGACATTTTTATTTTTACTGTACTTTACAAAAGTGCTGATCCATATTAGATTAGAAATTTTTTAAATGGAACAAAAAACCCCTGGTACTTCTCCAAATCTAGTTTGAGTCATATATGGTTTCTGACTCTCAGATGGGAGAATTAATGTTTTTGTCTTTTATTGTAGTTTTTCTCCTCTCTTTTGGGCTAACTTGCCATCTATCCTTTCATTCTTTGACTTGCAGTGTAATTCTTAACGTAGCCAACTTGGTTGTGTTTCTTTTTGCTTTTCTGTATGCACTATTAACTTAGTTTGTATAGCTTCCTCATTATGCCTTATTTCTGTATTTCCTGCCTATTCTCATTTTGTGTTAGAAAGTATCACCTTTATGATGATTTTGTACTCTGCCAATAAACTTGGCTAAGCCAGAATCATGTTTCCCACAATACCCTTTTCTGTTAGAGATGGCCAAAGGGAAATCTGTGTACTATCTGGAAGAACAAAGTAAAACACCAATTATTACTCTTTGAAGGGTTTGAAGGTGAGAGGTAGAGACAAGGTGCCAGCAGATTCTAGTCTGTCCTACCTATCTACCACTTCATGTCCAGCTGACCCTCCCCTGAAAGAGGAGCTCCTCCTTCCTTCAAGCTGGGATATTGGGTGCTCTTGCTTTGTATTTTCATCTGAAGCATTGCTCCTCCAGCAGCTACAGAAGGTGGCCGGCCTTCACTACAGTATCAGCTAACTACACAATTGGCTTTCCTGAGTTTCTAGCTTGCCAAATGCAAATCTTGAGATTTATAAGCTTTCTTAATTATATGCTCCAATTCCACATCATCTCACCTCCTTCCCCTTCTTAATCCTTCTCTCCCACTCATTCCAGCTTCCCTTTCCCCATTTTCTGTTTGTTTTGTATTTTGGGACAGGTCTCTTTAGGGAGCCCAACCTACTCTGGACCTCAACAATATTCCTAAATTTTGAGGTCCCAACTGTGCATAATCATACCCAACTCTGTTCTCTTCCAAAATCTGAATTTCAGTCTTTATAACAGTTGCTATGGTCTGAACCTTCTGACACTCACACTGAGATTCTGCTCCCCTCATAACGGTGTTGAGAAGTGGTGTGATAAGCTAAGGATTCATACAATCTTCATGGGACTGGATGGTTCCTATGAGAGCAGGCTGTTACAGAATGAGGCTGTTAGAGCAGGAGGCATTTCCCGGATGAAGCTGCCAGGTATGGGACTTCTATCTTCCAGAAATCAACTTCTTTCCTTTCCAAGTTACCTAGTTTTGCACATTTTATTAATGCAAAAGAAAAATGGACTAAGGTAACAATTGACCAGAGTTGGCTTTAGAAAAAGGAAAAGGGGAGAGAATGAGTAGATCAAGCTGGACTCACCTTTAGGGGAAAGAGAGAAGACTTAATGAAAACGCCAAAGCACGAAATACTTTTCTCCTTTCACAGACAGTCATCAACATAATTGTCTTTTTTATCTCCTAAAGTGCTCCTCTATTTTATTCTGAATGTTGAGAATGTACTGATCTTTATTAGGCCCGCTAGATCTTGGCTTGGAGTGATTATCATTAGCTTGTCATGCATTTCTTTTTGTTGGTACCAATTTTGAGGAGTATATTACATGGTTTCCTTGTTAAAGTATTTTCTATGTACATTACTTTCTTTACTGCTAGGTTGGGCAAAAAATTGCCATTTTTATCAGTTTTTGATTCCCAAAGCCTATTTATTTACAGGCTGAGAGTTGTTTAGAAACACAAAATCATAGGTACCACTCTGTTCCTACTGAATCAGAATCAATAATTTAACAAATTCTCCAAATGCATATTCCTTTATATGCTCATCAAAATCTAGCCTTGGGGCTGGGAAGGTGGCTCAGTGGTAGAATGCTTGCCTAGCATGCATGAGGCCTTGGGCTCAATTCCTCAGCACCACATATGCAGAAAAAGCCGGAAGTGGCACTATGGCTCAAGTGGTAGAGCACTAGCCTTAAGCTGACAAGCTGAGGGACAGTGCCCAGACCCAGAGTTCAGGTCCCATGGCCAAAAAAAAAAAAAAAAGTTAAAATCTAGACTCATTTATAATCATGAGTTTGAATTTTATATTACATCAAACAAAAGTAGTCCTATACTGACTGGAAATGCTCTTATTTTTATTTATTTACCAACGATTCTTATACAATTTTTAATGTTGTAATTTGAATATTCTGGGTACCTTGAATTCCATTACCTTCTGTATCACAGGTCTTCAAAGATTCAGCACAGATGTCTTTTTCTTGTTCATTTCTTCTGTCAATTACCTGTCTGTAGGGTAGGAATATTTCAATATGAAAAAGGATTAAGAGAAGTTTAAGGTTAGATATAAGTTATAGATGTAACATTAAATGTATAAGCAAAGTATTAAATATTTTTAAATTTCCAATTTTCTAACAGAACTATCTAAAATGTCTCCTGAAATTTTCAACTATCTTATATTTGAATTTATAAAATTAATTTTGCAGTGCTTAAGATTGCATATGCAAGCTAGGCAAGCAGGATATCATTGAGTTACATCCTTTGCTAGTGATTTTTTTACAGATATAATAAATTTTGATCATATTCAACCTCTTATTTTGTGTTCCTGTGGAATCATCTATGTATATACATTCATTCATTCATGCTTTATTTACCACTTGGACACTTATGCTGATTGCATAGTTACACTATTGAGACTAGAGGTGTTATTAACATAGGTGCACAGATATTCTACTATATGCTGACTTGTAATCCTTCAGATATATGCCCAAGGGTGGCAGACTGGAATCATATGATAATTCTATTTTTTGTTTTAGAGGAACCTCCATACTGATTTACATTAGCTATACTAAATTACACCCCCACCAACAGTGTGTAAGAGTTCCCTTCCCTGTGTCCTCAACAGCATTTAAAAACAAAAATAGCCATTCTGACTGGGATGAGATGGAATTCCATCCATGTTGCTTTGAGTTTCCTTTATGATTAAAGATGCATTTATTAGCTGTTTACTTCTTGAGAACTGTATGTTAGTATCCTATCTTCTACAAATAGATAAGCTTGACTATTTTTCTTGCCTTAGTGCTCTGGCTAAGAATTCAAGCAGTATAGTGAATAAGAGTGGAGACACTTATGTGTCATTCCTAACTTTAAAGGAAATGCTTTTCGTTTTTTCCTATTTAATACGATATTAGCTATAGGTTTGCTGCAGATAGCTGTTGTTATGTTGAGGTATATTCCTTGTATTACTAAGTTTCTTCAACACTTTTATCATAATAGATGTTTGTTGTCAAAGGCTTTACTGTGTATATTGAGATGATCATGTGACTCTTGTCCTTCATTCTATTTTCTGTATTATGTTTACTGATTTGCATATGCTGAGTAACTCTTGAATCCTTGGATTGACATTCGTTTTATCCTCTAATGTACTGTTGAATTTTGTTTGCAAGAATTTTATCGAGAATTTTGCATCTATGTGCATCAAGGCAAATGGCCTATATTTTCTTCTATGGTTAGGCTTGCAGGAGGTGTGGGCTTATACCAAAGCTAAAATTTCCAGTTTGTTGAGGGTTAGCGTGCTTGTCTTTGTTTCTTCAACTCCCTCAGCTCTTGGGAAGCAGGATTAGAGCTATGGACTCTTTTCTCTGCTTTCCTCTCCCATCTTTGTTTCTCTGTGCAGTTTAGCTATCCTGTCATGTTTTCTAATACTCCATATTCTGTTTCTTCAGAGTATAGTTTCCATGTTGTCACCCTGCTTCTTCTCATTCAGAGTTAGAGGGACAAAGGTTTTATTCCTAACTTCATTTTCTCTGTAAATTGTTCATAGTATTGAAGAGGACTAAAATTCAACTTTAACATACAAATATTCTACATATGCAGTTTTTAAAAATATACTGTTATTGTTATTAAGGTGCTGTACAGAGGAATTACATTTCATTTTTTTTTTTTTTTGTCGGTCGTGGGGCTTGAACTCTGGGCCTGGGCACTGTCTCTCAGCTCTTCAGCTCAAGGCGAGCGCTCTACCACTTGAGCTACAGCGCCACTTCCGGTTTTCTAGTGGTTTATTGGAGATAGGAGTCACAGTCTCTCCTGCCTGGGCTGGCTTTGAACCACGATCCTCAGATCTCAGCCTCCTGAGTAGCTAGGATTACAGGCGTGAGCCACCAGCACCCGGCAGGGATTACATTTCAAAAGTCAGGTAATGAGTAAGTTTCTTTTATGGATACCATCTTCCAAATTATATATAAAGTTTTTAAGAGAAATAATTATGGAAAAATGATTCTCTGAGCTGGGTATTAAAAATTAATGAGCTTCAATAGGAAGTGTACTTATTACCTTGTTCATGTAACTGTAACCCTCTGTATAGTATCTTTACAATAAAAATTTAAAAAAAATAAAATTAATGAGCTGTATGTTTTGTATTAAATAAGTTTTTTATAGTTTTTTGTGCTAGTTCTAGGGCTTGAACGCAGGGCTTGAGTGCTGCCCCTGAACTTTTTTGCTCAGACTTGTGCTCTACCACTTGAGCCACAGCTCTACTTCTGGCTTTTTTTATGTTTAACTGGAGATAAGAATCTCATAGATTTTTCTGCCTGGGTTGGCTTTGAATGTAATGCTCAGATCTGAACTTCCCAAGTAGCTAGGATTAAGGCATGAGCTACCAGCACCCAGTTTGAAAAAGAATATCAATAAAATATAAACACCCATAGTGCTACTATACTTATTACTATGGATTTTAAAAATAAATTGGAAAGCTGGGCAAAATCAGAAAAAACTTCGTATTATAAAACTTTATTTCCCCTCACATTTCATCTATTATTTAATCACGTTTGTTTTTAAATGTTTATAACTTAAATGTTTATTATTTTAAATTTTAAATAATATATTAAAATTCTTTGTTATTCTGTGTGTGTGTGTATTCTTTTACTTTTTGTGCTGGTCCTGAGGTTTGAACTCAGGGTCTTGGTACTGTCCCGGAGCTTTTTTACTCAAGGTTAATGCTCTACCACTGAGCCACAGCTCTACTTCCAGCTTTTCTGGTCCTTAATTGGAGATAACGTCAGCCTGGGCTGACTTTGAACTGCGATCCTCCAATCTCAGCTTCCTGAGTAGCTAGGATTTTTATTGTTTAATTCTAGAAGATCTTTAACTTTTATCCCTGTTATTTAAAAGATTAAACATTTAATATAATTTTTTATTATTTATTATATATATTATAATTATTATTTAATATAAATATAAAAAATTTAACTGTAGGTAAATTCTGATCACTAAAAATTACAAATCAACAAGAAACTAACATTATTTAGTGCTTCACAGATATTTCACAGGTTAACAAGCCATGAAGAGCTATATAGGACATACATTAGGCTGTGAGGAGTACCTTTCTTGCATCCCCCCCCTCCCCCCCGTTTGTGGAGCTCTTTAGCTCAAGGCTAGGGTTCTACCACTTGAGCCATAGCACCCACTTCTGCCTTTTTCTGTGTATGTGGTGCTGAGGAATAGAACCTAGGGTCTCATGCATGTGAGGCAAGCACTCTACCACTGAGCCACCTTCCCAGACCATGGTTTTGTTTTAAACAGCCTTTTCAAACTTTTTTAAAAAAATTTAAATAGTTGTACAAAAGTACCATTCAGCATATCACTTTATAAGAACAATTCATCTAGATCAATATCACCTTTTTTGTTGTTGTTGGTTGTAGGACTTGAACTCATGGCCTGGGCTTTGTCCCTGAGCCTCTTTGTGCTCGAGGCTAGTGCTCTACCACTTGAGCCACAGTTGTGCTACTTCTAGTTTTGGAGTGGTTAATTGGAGATAAGAGTCCTACGGGGACTTTTCTGCTTGGGCTGCTTCGAACTGTGATACTAAGATCTCAGTTTCCTGAGGAGTTAGGATTACAGGCTTAAACCACAACACTCAGCTGAATGTGTGTCTTTAAATTTACAAATGTTTGGAGATATTTTTCCCATTTTTGTTATTCCTACTTTAACCCTGTTATGATCAGAGAGCATACTGGGTATATCCATGTCAAAACATATCCATATCAAAACAATGTGCAGCTAGATGCTAGTGGCTTGCTCAGACAACCACCTGCCTCTACCCCTAATGTCCATGCCCCTTGCCAGCAGCAAGTAGCCAAAGAGAATCCTCGCCCCTTTATAACTGCCAAAAGCCTGGAATGTCACAACGCCCCTCCCCCTTGCTCTTCACCTGCCTGCAATCACCTGACTGTGAGTCAGCCAAGGACTCCAGGTTCTGAGGCAGGGTTGTTGTCCAGTCCCGGAGAAGGCACAAGCAGCAACACATCTCCACCTTTTACCCCTAATGTCTACGCCCCTTGTCAGTAGGAAGTAGCCAGAGAGAATCAACTTCCTTCTATACTTATCAAAAGCAGGGGACGTTATGTCTGCCTGGAAAGAGCTCAGCTTGTCTCCATCATTTTGTTTTCCACGCAGGAAGTCAGCACGCAGCACCTGCGTTACCCAAGTGATGGGCACACCTGGAGGCAGTCACCACCCCTTTCTCTGAGGTTACCTCCCGGGGCGCCCCTGTCACACCTCCTCCTGCCCTACTTAACACCCACCCAGCCAGGGCTGCTCCCTGAGGGCGGGCCTGCAGTTTGTTTTCCTTTCTGCCTGAATCACGTGGCAGTTTACTCTCAGCAAGCCTTGCAGATGCAATAATTCTAGCTCATAAATATGAAAGGAATGATGGAATTAGAAAACTGCTATCTTACAATGCTATTTAATTTAGGTAAAATCCATCAATAAAGTCCAAAACAGGAGGCTTCAAAAAGGATGATGGGAAACTTCATAGTGATCATCTTTAGCCTCACTAAAACATATGCACCTAATATTGTGATGTGGGTACAGCACATCTCAGTCGGTATTGTTTGACACAGAGCAACAAGTTCCCCATATTAGTTTATAGAAACATATATAGCAAAAGAAAAACAATTCATAAGTAGGGGAAGTGTGCATACTATGTTCCAGATATGCAATTTACCTCTAGTAAGAGGAATAAAAAAAACTTGGTCTACCTTGAACCATAGTAAATGGATAATGTCTGTAAAAGGAAAAACTATTATATGATGCTTACAGCATGTTTTTAGCCTAGTGAGGAGATTTTTCTGGGGACCTGAAGTATATATAGAAGATATTTCAGTCTGTTTTTCAGTTCTATTTTCAGTTATGCATGAAATAGCAAAGCCCAAACTACCTGTTTCTTATACAGTTACAATTTTTGTGTATGTATATTACTGACACTGTTTTTCAGTTTGTTTTCTGCTTTT